TAAATAAAATTTGTATATACGCTCGTTTTTAATTTATCGTCTCTATTAAGTGCATGGAAATAAAAAATAATAATAATTGTTAATATTATATTGTAAATTAATGGTTTTTAAATTTTCGTTATTATTTATCTTAGGATAATAGATAGTATATAAGAGCGTACAGCGTACGCGCCATGTATTACAATTGTTAAAAATAGATTCGTAGAGAACAATATAATATATAAAGGTAATTCCATCCAAAAAAAATTTCATTGATAATGTAGTTTGTTATGCATGTTACACTTATATTTTGTTGAACAATTCGTTTATACTTAATTGTGTTATTACGCTACTTGATTGTGCAAATTATTTTATTAAATTATATCGACATGGAATATAATAAACGCAATAGCAATACACAAAAAATTACAAATAATTTTTTTTCTACGACAGTGACCAAAAGACTTAAAACCACAGCTGATGATCAAGTCACAGATACTAAAAATGTAAATAATAATTAATTTGTTTGTCTAAATTTTTATAATATCTAAGGTGTTTAAATTTTAATTGGTAGAGATGCATTAAACTTTTTTTTTAATTTACAAATAAAAATTATGTTATTTTTTGCAATAATAATGTATATTTTAGCTCTGTTAAATGTATAAAACAAGTATAAATTTATATCGATATTGGCTAATGATTGATTTTTGGTAATCTTAAAATTTAATAGTTTACCCCATATATTAGATTTAATATGATTGTTCAAAATGGGTAATTTCTGTTTTTTAATAATTTGTTTTTTTTTCTATTAGTACCTCACAAATAAATTTATTTACAAAAAATTATGTAAAAATATTTAAAAAATATCATACTGATCTCAAAACAATTCAAAATACAACTCAAGTGATTTTTTGAATAATATAATTAAACATTATATCATTACATTTACAGGAAGTAACCAAGGATACTGATGTCAATGCATCATGTTCTGCTAACATTATCAACACAACTTTGTGGCCAGCCGATTGGAATATATTTTAAGATCTAAATTCCATAAATCATTTTAAATCATTTATCGACTCATAGTATGTTTTGTATAATAATTCTCCTAAAAATAGTATTGAAATTAAAGATGTGTATAATGAATTGAATATCATGTTTTTGAAAATTGGAAGAGTTCTTGATATTAGATGGGTTGCAAGTAGTTGGCGAGTCGTTAATGCAGTATGGGAAACATTTCCTATTCTAAGTAAACATTTTTATAACTCATCTATTGATACAACAAAAGATTCTAAAACAAAGAGCAAATATTTAGGTTTATATAAGAAATTGACTTCGCCTGAATTTTTGTCTGATTTGTCTTTAATATGTGATGTACTTTTAGAATTGTCTAATTAATTATTAAATCTTCAAAATCAAAAAATAACACTCATAGAAGCAGACTCAACTATCAAGAGATCTATTCGAATGAGAGAATGGGGCGCTGAATCTTGGGAAGACATCAAAACAAACATTTACGCCAGTACAAAGAAAGTACTAGGCAAAAATGTTTTAGAACCAAGGAAACCTTGGATGACCCCAGACATCCTAGAACTAATTAAGGAAAGAAACAAGTGGAGGAAGAAGGACTATGGAAAATACAAAAAAGTTAATAACAAGATTACAAGTGAGTGCAAGATAGCTAAAAATGAATGGATGAAAAATAACTCCAAAGAGATTGAATACCTACTGTCCAAGAACCGCGTAGACAAAGCCTACGCCAAAGTGAAAAAGCTAGAATACAAACCAAAAACCAGAAGAAGAAGAGGAATATTTGGAACGTGAAGAAGACGTCGAGCCAAATGATAAAAGTTTTCCAATATTACAAGATTAATACCAACTAGCCTTGAGAACCTTATCAAACAAAAAAGCACCAGATATAGATAAGATTCTAGCAGAACTATTAAAAAATACTGACCCATTAAGTCAAGCTTGTTTAAAATAATCAAAGAAAGTGGAATCCTACCTGAAGACTTTATTAAGAGCAAATCCATCATAATACCCAAAAAAGGCAATGCTAGCGAATGTGTGAACTACAGAACAATAACACTCTAGTCTCACGCGTCGAAAGTTTTTTTAAACATCCTAAAAAATAGAATCATATCCAAGATAGAAGAACACATAAGCGAGGACTAGTCTGGATTCAGGAAGGAAAAAGAAACAAGAGAGGCGATAATTGCTCTAAGGCAGATTCTTGAAAGGAGACTGAATGTGAACTAGAACACCCTTATCACGTTCATATATTTAGAAAAAGCCTTCGACAAAATCAACTGGAAACTGCTATTCAAAACTCTAAGAGAAAGGAGAATTGTCTGGAAAGATAGAAGAGTCGTCATCCAGAGACTGTATAAAGATCAAAAGACACTGGTGGACATCAATGGAGAAGTGAGAGGAGCCAAAATTAGGAAGGGCGTTAGACAGAGGTGTCCTTTCTCCTTATCTGTTCAACCTTTTCATAGAGGATGCAATGAATGAAATGAAACAGCAGACTAAAGGTGTAATAATAAATGATCAGAAAGTGAACTGTATAAGATTCGCAGACGACATTGCATTGGTTGCAGACAGCTCTGAAGAAATGAATGAGATGCTCAACACCCTTTCTAATATCCTTGACAAATACCACCTGAAAATCAACGCCAAAAAAACGAAAACAATGACAGTTAGAAGAGAACAACACATAGTGAAACCTACAATCAAACTGAGGGATGCGGTCATTGAAGATGTAGAAGAAGAGTTCTACTATCTAGGAAGCTCCATTACTTACGACAACAAATCTACCAATGATGTTAAGAGAAGAATAGCAATGGGCAAAAAAACATTCAACAGCAAATACAATCTCCTAACTAACAAACACTTTGATTTAAATACAAGGAAGAAATTCATCAAATCCTACATTTGGAGTGTGTTATTGTATAGCTGTGAAACTTGGACCATAGGTCATATAAAAAGAAACGGCTAGAATATTATGAATTTTATTATTGTCCTCTGATATTTATATGAATATTTTTAACGTACACTTACATACTTTAATTTTATGTATTTATTTAATTTATAGTATATTAGAGTAGTATTTATTTAATTATATAATTATAGTATTTTTTTATTATTCTGTAATATCATTATAATTTTATTTTTAAATTGAATTTTAAAAACTTTAAAATGGATTATCACTTACTGGTAAGTTTTTAATATCATTTTTTTTAAAATTATTCAATTTTAATTACGTTAAGGTCAATTATATTAAATATACTACAATATACTACTTTACAAATGCTACTCAATAATGTTTCATATTTTAAAAATTATTGTTTTCAAACAGCACAAATGTTTGTCAAGTTATATCTGTGGTAGTACATGCTAGCAAGTATTTTAACTAGTTATAATTTATGATCATTGTTTATTACCAAATTTAATTTAATTATTGTTATATGGAAATGAATATTTTTATACAATTTATTTTTAAAAATAAAAATTATTGGATTAAAACATCTTCCAACTTAGGATACTTCACCCAACCTTGTAGCCGTACAGTTTAGATATATTGTTCCAATATATCTAAAATCATATAAACACATAACATAACATACACTACAGACACAATATCTATCGAAACTGATTAGTATTATCAATGATAAGTAGAAACTAAACGCGTGACACGTTATGAAATTCTAGCTTGTAGAACAACTTTATTGAACCATCTTATTTTTGGAACCAAGTGTCGTATAATAGAGTGCCAAAAATTCTTAAGGTGTGAAATAATTCCAAACTTATTTACTGTTATTGTAAAATCGAAGATGCATATTATGACATCATCTTCGATTTTATAATGCCGGATAAATGTTAGATGAACGTCATCATACAATAACAATTAGATCATCTAAAATGTGATATTATGATAGTCGACAAAAACAAAGAGGCAAACACCGGATGATATACTATTTGGAAATCTATTTTATCTTACACTGCATATACCCATAAACACAGTGTCCCTCACAAAGTACTGATTGAAAATACATTTGTTTTATGAATTAAATACGAATATAAATTATATTAATAGTATATATTTAAGTTAAAGAAAATATATTATGTATAAAATGTTAAATTAAGATAGAAAAACGTGTTATGAATTTAATACGAAATGTTATACTTATTCAATTCTGACTTGAATTAAATNATGAATTATTATTATGAATTTAATACGAAATGTTATACTTATTCAATTCTGACTTGAATTAAATGGCGCAGAACTTGATTTATTATAAATAAAAAATTTAAGTACCACTTCAACCTTTTAATCTTGAGGGACGTTAATGTAATTATTTTAAAACTTAAAAATAATTTGTTAAATAAAAATCAATCATTTAAAAAAAATTCATTAATTCTGTATCTATTTAAAACATTTAATTTAACTTTATTTTTAATAATAAATTGTTAAATAATATATTATTAAATATATTACATATTAAATATATTTAATCATATAATGCTATAATATACAAATTTAAACATATCATTCATTGTAAAAACTTGTTTTTTACTAAAACACATTTAACTTAAGTAAATAAGAATTTAAATATTTTGTAAAGCTTGATTATTTTTTGTATAAAAGCCAAAAATTTTCATGTTACCATAACGCAATTATGACTGTTACACTATTTTAAATAATTATATTTGAAACTGAAAATATTAAGAGATGATTTATCAAATTAAGATATTATTGTTTGCTAATAGCGTTCTATCGTTTTGTTTTTTCCCGATTCAAAATAAATATAATAAATTGAAAATTAATGATTCTAAAAAAGAACATGAAGAAATAACAAGTAATAATGAAGATACTCTAAAAGAATTTGATAAAAATTGGGTAATTTATAAATAAATAATGTATTTAGCCAATTTTTATTTTATAATTTTTTAATTTAAAATGTTACTCTAACTAAAAATGGAAAAGATTCTAATATGATACTATTATTAAATTTAAAAAATAGTATTTTATTTACCCTAATTAAAATTAATTAGAATTTAAAAAAATTTTTAAAATCCTAGCAATTATTTAAAAAGTATACTTCTAAAAACTATAGGCGAATTATAATATGATTCAATAGAAAAAAAAACGTTCAATTTCATCTTAACTTTTTTAATGTAAGATAATTTAAATATTAAGTAAATGCACTAATATTTTTATTTGTTATTTTTAAGTCTTTTAATAGGTCACAATATATAATAGTTTAGCAATAAATGGAATATACTTTTAATAATAAAAAAAAAGCAATTATATGTATTTTAAATATTTGTTTATGTTAAATAAAATTTTATACTTTTTTTAACTAATTGAAAAAAAATTCAATGATAATATATTAAGTCTCAGTTCCGATTTTTTTTGTTATAATTAGGACCCAAATTTAACTATTTTTTTTAATTATTATAAACACACATCTCCGTACACATTTTAAATTCAATTCGACACTAATAAGGTATTGGTCTACATTTACATTACAAACTTTTTAATAAAAATAAAGAACTAAAAAATTATTATTTTAAAATTTCGAAAAAATTAATTTTTATTTTATTTTTTAATAAAAACTTTTAATAAAAAATAGGCTTTTAACGTAGTCTAAAACTGTAAAAATTTCTAATAAACGGTAGCACAGTGTGGTCAAGGCACAGAATGGACGTGGCCTGGTTGGGACAAGTATAGATGATATCTACAAGTAATTAAATTCACTATAATAAGAAACGCTTCGATGCAAATCTATAAATAGTCTTTAATTCTAAGAAATTGGTGGATTATTCCAAAAGTAAAATGAACTACTATTTCCTTATTTATATCCTAATCAAAAGTTTTAAGATTTCTAAGTGTAATATATGAAATAAATATTTAATATTATTTGCTCAACTTCAACAGCCATAGAAGATAGGTCGTCGGGACAATTTTTTTTTTTAACTTATAGTATGTAACATAAGCTTTAATTGAAATAATTATAATTATTGTGGAGAATGTACTACAATTATTTTTAATGAATTATCTTCATAAACAGAAAGCAAGAAGCGAAACATTTAACTTTATTTGCTTAAACAAATTAAAGTAAAATTAACAGATTATATGTTTTAGGGAAACGATAATTTAAGTGTCACTCGTATAATGGGAGAAAAGATGCATTCACTTTTATTAGCAAAAGATACAAATAAAGATAACATAGTAACTTATGAGGAATTTCTTGAAATACACCAAATAATTTTTAACGTTAATGACAGAATAAAATTTTCTGATGAGGACTTCAACAAAATAAGTAATTATAATAAAATGTTTGTCTATTATTGAATTCATGAAAATACTAATTAAAATGATTATAACTATAACTTATAAAGAACGACTTCAAATTATAATAAAAATTATGACACGTAAGAGAATACACAGATTTTTTATTGTTAACATTGTATTATTATAATATCTCATCGTTGTTTCCATAATTAGTATCCAGGTTATCAATATTTTTGTACTTAAATAAACACATTACTAAATTGATACTTGTAAATCTGTTGTTATCGGAATAACTTACCCGTTGATGAAGGCTATTGACAAGAAATTTAATTTTAACGTTTCCATTTGTAGACTAAATAACATAATATTATGTATGTGGCCATAGGATATGGTAATAAAAAAAAAATGATCACTAACGATGGAAGGAAAAAATAAAATAAAACCAGTTGGTACTTTTTAACTAAAAAACATAATTGTATTTTTAAAAGAAAAATAAAGATCAATTCCGACTCCTTAACGACTCCATAAACACAAATCAACATAACAACATAACATAATAACGGTAATAGTTGTGGCCAGTGCCAGCAACCAATGCCTAAAACTCGTCCATCCTGACATACGGTTGACCTCCACAATCATAAGTAACATAATAAAAATAATATACATATACAAAAAAAAATATCAAAATTAACGTAGGTGTCATAACATAATTATCATAAGGAACATTTTTAGTTAAAATTCAGTCCTGTTGAATACAAATACATATAACATAAAAACAATTAACATTTTAAATAAAACATAACATTAAATATATTATAATTTTAATTATTATTGTGTTGTGTCAAGATTAGGTGACCACATTTTTATGCTATTTATGGCACTTACACCCTCATAAGGTCTTCGAGTATTTTGAAAACCTGGTATATCAGTCACCACAAATCTGTCATTAGGAAGTATTTTTTTAATAATATAAGGTCATTTAAATTTTGTAAATAATTTTTTATTGATACCAGTCGTAGTATAATAATTATTAAAACTAAATCTTGTATTATATAATTAGTTGGTATCTTTTGTTTACTATCATAATATGTTTTATTTTGTTCTGGAATTTTAGAAATGTGATTAGAAGCATCTTTCTTAACTTTTCCTAAATCTCTTTCTTCTATAAAATTGAATCTAAATAATTCTTTATATCATCATCAAACTTATATTTTTGTTTTACACCATATAAAAAAATTGTTTAAACTTCATTAGTAGAACCGCTTATAATTAATACCATATTCAACATCATTTAATGTTTTGTTCCATCTGGACAGGGTAAAGGATAACTTAGCTATCATGGGGAAAATGGTACGGTTTACCATTCTCAATAATAATGTAGATAATGGAATTTCATTATCTACAGTAAATTTTTCAAATACTGTACAGGTAAATGCAGAACCTTTATCAGAAATAATTCGAATAGGCCTATAAAAACTAAAGTGATTCTGAAGATGATTAATAACTTCACTGCTATTAGTGGTTGTTGAATAGAATAGGTTATGTAATTAAAAGATTTAGAAATTATTCGTAATATAATAGTATTTAATATAAAATGTCAAAACATATAATATAAGAGATGTACAACGGCAACGGGTCACTTTACTCGATAGACGGTGAAACTACGACTAAACTGTAAACATGTATACAATAGGCTGCATTGAGTAAAACAACATAATCGTAAAAGGAATGTGTCCCTTTGACCTTGTACTATACTAACATAAGTAAAAATACATTAAACTGTTATCTTAAATAATATTACTGTACCCAGTGTGTTGTTTAATAATATCAACACTTCCCCTTAAACAATACACCCGTACATAGTTAATTAAAAAATTATAAATCTATATATCTAATTCCTAACATTTCTCTGAGTTCTTGAAATCTTGTTCGTGGTGTTGGCTTGGTCAAGATGTCAGCTAACTGCTCTTTGCTGGTCACATACTCCAGTGAAAACATCCCTTCATTGAACTTCTCACGAATATAATGATAACGAACATCTATATGTTTAGTTCGTTTATGGAATTCTGGATTCTTCACCAATTTTATGGCACTTTGATTGTCCGCGTACAAAACAGGTGTCTCTCCCTGTGTTTCCAGAAGATCACTTGTTAGTAGCGTCAACCAAGTTAATTCCTGGACTGCTTGACTCAGTGCCATGTATTCAGCCTCAGTAGTTGAGAGTGCTACTGATTTTTGCCTTTGTGAACACCATGCTATTATTCCATTAGTCATCATGAAAATGTATCCTGATGTTGATCGCCTTGTTGTTGTATCACCAGCATAGTCTGCATCACTATAACCATGTAACTTAAGTTTCACCCTAGAATGAAAAAATAAACCATAGTTATAGGTTCCTTTTAAATATTTTAAAATACGTTTCACCGCATTCCAATGTATTATAAGAGGCTTTTCTAAATAGCGACTGACAAGATTTACAGCAAATGTTATATCAGGCCTTGTGATCTGACTTAGATATAACAAACTTCCTACTGCTTCTCTGTATGGAACTTCCCCTGCTTGTAATGATTCAGATAAATTTGCATCTAATGAGTGTTGTGGATCTGCAGGAATGCATAGGGCGTTGGATTCAGCCATATTGAATCTCTCCAAAACGCGTTGACAGTATAATGACTGATGTATAAATATTGACCCATCTGATCTCTGATCAATTTCAATACCCAGAAAATGATTAAGTTCACCTGATTTTGTCTCAAAGTTGCTCATCAGGTACTTCACCATCATGTCCACCTGCTCATCATTTGTTGCTGCTATAATCCCATCATCTACAAAAATAGCTACAATCATTAATTGTTCATTTTTATTACTTACAAATACACAGGGATCTGCCTTTGTTTCTTTTAGATCAAATTTTAACAACAAATTTTTAAATTTTGTATTCCAGCACCTGGGTGCTTGTTTTAATCCATACAAGCTTCGTTGAAGTTTGCAAACTTGTTTAGTTCCATCTTCATAACCTTTTGGCTGGTTCATGTAAATCTCTTCTTCAAGATCACCATATAAAAAGGCTGTTTTAATATCAAATTGTCTGAGTTTTAATTTTCTGGCTGCTGCTATTGCTAGCAGTACTCGTATAGAGTCATACTTTACAACTGGACTAAAAGTTTCTTGAAAATCAATTCCATGCACTTGTGCATAGCCTTTTATAACTAGTCTGGCTTTAAATCTATCAACTTCTCCATTTTTCTTGAGTTTGGTTCGATATACCCAGCCATTGTTAAGTACTTTTTTATTTGTTGGTATATTTACTAATTTCCAGGTTTCATTCTTTTTTAATGACAACATTTCTTCATCCATTGCTTCTTTCCAATCTTCTGAATTTTCTTGTGTCATAGCTTCTTCATATGTAACTGGATTATCACACATTGAATAAAATGTTTCTGTTCTATACCTTACTGGTTTTTCTATATTTTGTCTATCTCTAAGTCTCATTTTTAATTGCTCATGAGTCTGATCTGCTGATTGATCAAGTTCATCCATATTTTGTTTTCTTTCAACATTATTCTCATCATTAATGTTATTTTCTTCACTTTCATCCACCATTTCTGAATTTATTTCTTCATCTTCTTTTCTAATTTTGATTTCTATTTCCATAGATTCTTTGAATATAACATCTCTGCTTAATGAAACTTCTTTTCCATCAAAGCATATGCGGTATCCTTTAGTTTCTTCTGAATACCCAACAAATATTCCTTTTCTCCCTTTTTGATCCCATTTTCTACGTTTTTCTTTTGGTATATGAACATAAACTTCACTACCAAATACTTTAAAATTGCTTATATTGGGACTTTTATTATACCATAATTCATAGGGCGTTTTTTCTTTGTTACCTGAATTTAACGTACGATTCAATACATATACAGCTGTATTTACCGCTTCAGCCCAAAGATTTTTTGACAAATTTTTACTGTATAACATAGTTCTAGCTGCTTCTACTATTGTACGCATTGTTCGTTCTGCTTTACCATTTTGCTGTGGTGTAAATGGTACACTGGTTTCATGTTTTATACCAAATTTATTCAAAATAGCTTTGACTTCATCATTTTTATATTCCAAGCCACAATCACTTCGTAAAGTAAGAACTGATATATTTAACTGATTTTTCACTGTATTTAAGAATAATTCAAACTTCTCTTTTACTTCTGATTTTTGTTTCATAAAATATATATATGTATACTTAGAGTAATCATCTTTGAATATAACAAAGTATCTTTTACCACCAAGAGAATTTTCTTCCATGGGTCCACAAACATCACTGTGAATTATCTGACCTGGTTTTGTTGTTTTGGTACTGCTCAGTGTAAATGGTTCTCTGTGTTGTTTACCATAAATGCAAGCTTCACAGAAAAATTTGTTTTCCATATCTGTGAATTGAATACCCATATGCCTTAGGTAATTTCTAACATATTGAACATTCTGATGACCTAGTTTTTCATGCCACTGTTGTAATGTAAGAATTTTTTCAGCAATATTCACTTGATCTATCTCTTGCGAAATCCTTGTTTTAAAAATCATCGAAAACAATTTATTCTCACGAATTCCAACAGCAACTGTACTATTTCCTCTTTTAAATGTACAAACATTTTTGTCTGTTATCATTATTATACCTTTATCAAGGCACGCTCCACATGAAAACAAATTTACTTTGAGTTCAGGTACATGTAAAACATTTGACAAATAACTGTCAACCCATTTTTCGCCAATTTTTGCTTGAACATATATATTACCTTTACCAATAGCCATAATATATTTACCATCACCAATACGTACTGGCAACTGAATCTTGAACGACTCATAAGTTCTGAACCACTCTCTTCTACTGGTCATGTGATCACTTGCACCGGAGTCCACATACCATTTATCAAAATCACTAATTTTGCTCACCATTGAATTAACGCCTATTAGTGCATTACCAGAATTTGATTCGTTTTTATTCTTTCCGTCTTGTTCTTTCTTCAAAATCCAGCA